GGGTTGGGGTGGGGGGAGGGGCAAAGGGTTTGCCGGCGTTGGCGCCCCCTGGCGGATCCAGCGCGCCCTGCTCCGGTGAGGACACGCCCCCTTGATGGCGGGGAGGGGGAGGGGTTGGGGTGGGGGGAGGGGCAAAGGGTTTGCCGGCGTTGGCGCCCCCTGGCGGATCCAGCGCGCCCTGCTCCGGTGAGGACACGCCCCCTTGATGGCGGGGACACGCCCCTTTTGTCTTGGGGGCACGCCCCTTTTGTTCTGGGGACACGCCCCTTTTATCGTGGGGATACGCCCCTTTTATCTTGGGGACACGCCCCTTTTATCGCGGGGACACGCCCCTTTTGTCTTGGGGGCACGCCCCCTTTTATCGTGGGGACACGCCCCTTTTGTCCTGGGGACACGCCCACAGGGTTGGGGGGTGCTGGGGGACACTGGGGGACACTGGGGGACACCGGGACCCCTCTGGTGACACTGGGACACGCTTGGGGACACCAAGACCCCCCCCCTGGTGGCACTGGGACCCTCCCGGTGACATTGGGACACTGCTGGTGACATTGAGACCCCCCCTAGTGACACCGAGACCCCCCCCCGGTGACATCGGGACCCCCTGGGTGACATCAGGACCCTCCCTGGTGGCACTAGGACACTCTTGGGGACACTGAGACCCCCCCTCCGGTGACATTGAGGCCCCCCTGGTGGCACTGGGACCCTGTGGGTGGCACTGACACCCCCTGGGTGACATCAGGACCCTCCCTGGTGGCACTAGGACACTCTTGGGGACACTGAGACCCCCCCTCCGGTGACATTGAGGCCCCCCTGGTGGCACTGGGACCCCCCTGGTGGCACTGGGACCCTGTGGGTGGCACTGACACCCCCTCGGTGACATCAGGACCCCCCCGGTGACACCGAGGCCCCTCCCGGGGGCGGTGCCAGCCCCGATCGGTGCCACCCGCGGGTGACAGAGCCACGCGGGGGTGACAGAGCCACGCCTGGAGCCGGCCCCGGCGGCACGGGGACATCGAGGGGACATCGAGGGGACACTCCGCCACCCCCAGAGGCCACCAAGCGAGGCCCCTCCCGGGGGCGGTGCCAGCCCCGATCGGTGCCACCCGCGGGTGACAGAGCCACGCGGGGGTGACAGAGCCACGCCTGGAGCCGGCCCCGGCGGCACGGGGACATCGAGGGGACATCGAGGGGACATCGAGGGGACATCGAGGCGACACTCCGCCACCCCCAGAGGCCACCAAGGGCCACCAGCAGGGGCCACCATGGGCCAGCAGGCGGCGACCCCCGGCCCGCCGGGAGCAGAGGTGAGAGCCCGCCGTGTCCCCCGGTGTCCCCTGGTGTCCCCTGGTGTCCCTCGGTGTCCCTCGATGTCCCTCGATGTCCCTTGGTGTCCCCTGGTGTCCCCTGGTGTCCCTCGATGTCCCCTGGTGTCCTTCGGTGTCCCTCGATGTCCCTCGATGTCCCTTGGTGTCCCCTGGTGTCCCCTGGTGTCCTTCGGTGTCCCCTGGTGTCCCTCGATGTCCCTTCATGTCCCCCGCTGTGTCTCATTGTCCCTCATTGTCCCCTGTCCCCCCTGATGTCCCCCCTGTCCCTGCTGTCCCCCCGATGTCCCCTGTCACCCCTGATGTCCCCTCTGTCCCCAGGAGCGCTCCGCCCGCGCCACCTTTGCCGCGTGGCGCCGCTACCGCCAGGCCTGCGAGCTGCACCTGCGCCTGGCCCCGCCCCCGCCAGGTGAGCGCCACGCCCCGGCCACGCCCCGGCCACACCTCGGGGACACCTTGGGGACACCTCGGGGACACCTCGGTGACACCTCGGCGACATCTGTGCCCCCCAGGGCCCGTGTGCAACCGCAGCTTCGACCTGTACGCGTGCTGGGGCGACGCTGTCCCCAACAGCACGGCCACTGTCCCCTGCCCCTGGTACCTGCCCTGGCACCACCGAGGTACCGGGGTGGCACGCGGGGACAGCGAGGGGACATTGCCGCGTGGCGCCGCTACCGCCAGGCCTGCGAGCTGCACCTGCGCCTGGCCCCGCCCCCGCCAGGTGAGCGCCACGCCCCGGCCACACCCTGGGGACACCTCGGTGACACCTCGGTGACACTTTGGTGACATCTGTGCCCCCCAGGGCCCGTGTGCAACCGCAGCTTCGACCTGTACGCGTGCTGGGGCGACGCTGTCCCCAACAGCACGGCCACTGTCCCCTGCCCCTGGTACCTGCCCTGGCACCACCGAGGTACCGGGGTGGCACGCGGGGACAGCGAGGGGACAGCTCGGGGACAGTGCAGGGCGGCGTGGTGGCGCGGGGACAGCGCGGGGACACCGCGGTGACACCGAGGGGACAGTGCAGGGCGGCGTGGTGGCGCGGTGACACCGAGGTGACACCGAGGGGACAGTGCAGGGCGGCGTGGTGGCGCGGGGAGGCGCCGCTACCGCCAGGCCTGCGAGCTGCACCTGCGCCTGGCCCCGCCCCCGCCAGGTGAGCGCCACGCCCCGGCCACGCCCCGGCCACACCTCGGGGACACCTTGGGGACACCTCGGGGACACCTCGGTGACACCTCGGCGACATCTGTGCCCCCCAGGGCCCGTGTGCAACCGCAGCTTCGACCTGTACGCGTGCTGGGGCGACGCTGTCCCCAACAGCACGGCCACTGTCCCCTGCCCCTGGTACCTGCCCTGGCACCACCGAGGTACCGGGGTGGCACGCGGGGACAGCGAGGGGACATCTGGGGACAGCGCGGGGACAGCGCGGGGACAGCGCGGGACATCTGGGGACAGCGCGGGGACAGTGCAGGGCGGCGTGGTGGCGCGGGGACAGCGCGGGGACAGCGAGGGGACAGCGCGGTGACACCGCGGTGACAGCGAGGGGACAGTGCAGGGCGGCGTGGTGGCGCGGGGACACCGCGGTGACACCGAGGTGACACCGCGGGGACAGTGCAGGGCGGCGTGGTGGCGCGGCGCTGCGGCCCCGACGGGCGCTGGGTGACAGACGACAGCGGCAGGACCTGGCAGGACAACTCGCAGTGCGAGGACGTGGCACCGCTGCAGCCGCTGCAGGTGGGGACAGCTGGGGACATCTGGGGTGAGGGGACATCAGGGGACATCTGGGGACAGGGAGGATCAGGGGACAGCTGGGGACATCAGGGGACATCTGGGGACATCAGGGGACAGCTGGGGACATCAGGGGACATCTGGGATGAGGGGACATCAGGGGGACGGGGGGACAGGGAGGGGATTGAGGGGACAGGGCGGGGACAGCACGGGGACAGAGAGGGGACACGTTGGGGACAGCGTGGAGACACGGCGGGAACACGGTGGGGACAGTGAGGGGACAGAGAGGGGACACGGCGGGGATGTGGCGGGGACAGCGCGGTGGCAGCGGCGATGCCGGGGACAGCGGGGTCGCAGCGCGGTGACACCGCGGGATGCCACCCCGCCGGGCGTGCCGCGTGCCCGCGCCCGTGTCGCGCTCGGTGTCACCCGCGCCGCGCGCGTGTCACGCTGCGCTCCGTGTGACACCGGGTGACACCGCGTGGCACCGCGCCGCGCCGCGCCACACGCTGTGCTGGCACATGCGTCACCCCTGTGTCGCGCTGTGCCCCGTGGCCCGTGTCCCCTGTGCCCTGCCGTGTCCCCCGCCGTGTCCCGTGTCCCCTGTCCTGTCCCCTGCTGTGCCCCGTGTCCCCCGCCGTGTCCCTGTCCCTTGTGCCCTGCCGTGTCCCCTGTCGCTGTCCCCGTGTCCCTGTCCCTGTCCCTGTCCCCGTGTCGCTGTCCCCGTGTCCCCTATCCCTGCCCTCTTGTCCCTGTCCCCTGTCCCTGTGCCCTGTCCGTGTCTCTGTCCCTGTCCCCTGTCGCTGTCACTGTCACTGTCCCTGTCCCTGTCACTGTCCCCGTCCCTGTCGCTGTCGCTGTCCCCTGTCGATGTCACTGTCGCTGTCCCTGTGCCCTGTCGCTGTCGCTGTCGCTGTCACTGTCACTGTCGCTGTCGCTGTCCCTGTCCCTGTCACTGTCGCTGTCCCCTGTCGCTGTCGCTGTCGCTGTCGCTGTCGCTGTCCCCGCAGCGCCAGGCGTGGCTGCTGGAGCAGTTCCGCCTCCTCTACACCGTGGGTTACTCGCTGTCCCTTGTCGCGCTGCTGGTGGCGCTGCTGCTGCTGCTGCTGCTCAGGTGGGGACACCTGGGGACGTCACCTGGGGATGTCACACCCGGGGCTGTCACACCTGGGGACGTCACCTGGGGCTGGGACACCTGGGGCTGTCACACCTGGGCATGTCACCCTTGGGGCTGTCACACCCGGGACTGTCACACCTGGGGCTGGGACACCTGGGGCTGTCACACCTGGGGCTGTGTCACACCTGGGGCTGGGACACCTGGGGCTGTCACACCTGGGGCTGTCCCTGTCCCTGTCCCTGTCCCTGTCCCTGTCCCTGTCCCTGTCCCTGTCCCTGTCCCTGTCCCTGTCCCTGTCCCTGTCCCTGTCCCTGTCCCTGTCCCTGTCCCTGTCCCTGTCCCTGTCCCTGTCCCTGTCCCTGTCCCTGTCCCTGTCCCTGTCCCTGTCCCTGTCCCTGTCCCTGTCCCTGTCCCTGTCCCTGTCCCTGTCCCTGTCCCTGTCCCCTGTCGCTGTCCCCTGTCCCTGTCACTGTCGCTGTCCCCTGTCACTGTCCCTGTCGCTGTCGCTGTCCCCTGTCCCTGTCCCCGTCCCTGTCGCTGTCGCTGTCCCCGCAGCGCCAGGCGTGGCTGCTGGAGCAGTTCCGCCTCCTCTACACCGTGGGTTACTCGCTGTCCCTTGTCGCGCTGCTGGTGGCGCTGCTGCTGCTGCTGCTGCTCAGGTGGGGACACCTGGGGACGTCACCTGGGGCTGGGGCACCTGGGGATGTCACACCTGGGGCTGTCACACCTGGGGATGTCACACCTGGGGATGTCACACCTGGGGCTGTGTCACACCTGTGTCCTGCTGCCTCCTACAGAGGTGTCACCCAGGGGATGTCCCGATGTCCCTGTGTCCCCATGGGTGTCCCCGTGTCCCCACGGTGTCCCCATGGTGTCCCCAGGCGCCTGCGCTGCACGCGGAACCTGAGCCACGCTGTGTCCCCACGGCAGTGTCCCTGTGTCCCCCATGGCAGTGTCACCCATGGCAGTGTCCCCGTGTCCCTATGGTGGTGAGGACAGGGGACAGGGGGACACACATGGGGACAGCCAGGGGACAGGGGGACACCGCGGGGACGGACAGGGGGACACCGCGGGGACACTATGGGGACAGGGGGACAACACGAGGACGGACAGGGGACAGACAAGGGACAGGGGGACACCATGGGGACAGCCAGGGAACAGGGGGACACACATGGGGACACCACGGGGATGGACAGGGGACAGACAAGGGACAGGGGGACACCATGGGGACACTCGCGGGAGGGAGGGGACACCCGTGGGGGTGGCTGTCACCCCTGCTGGTGGCCGGGACGGGGAGGGGACAGCGGTGCTGGGAGGGCGCAGGGGTGGCAGGGAGGGGACAGGGGTGTTGGCATGGGGACAAGGGTGACAGGAAGGGGACAGGGGTGCCGGGCCTGTGTCACCTCCTGCACCTTTGTGTCCCCTCCATGCCCCCCTCCCCAGGTGTGTCCCCAGCTGTCCCCAGCTGTCCCCAGCTGTCCCCAGGTGTCCCCAGCTGTCCCCGTGTCCCCCCAGGTGTGTCCCCAGGTGTCCCCCCAGGTGTATCTGTGATGTCCCCAGCTGTCCCCAGCTGTTCCCATGTCCCCTCAGGTGTCCCCAGGTGTATCCAGGTGTATCCCCAGCTGTCCCAAGCTGTCCCCGTGTCCCCCCAGGTGTCCCCAGGTGTATCGGTGTCACCGTGTCACTGTTATTGTGTCACCTGTGTCACCTCCTGCACCTTTGTGTCCCCTCCATGCCCCCCTCCCCAGGTGTGTCCCCAGCTGTCCCCAGCTGGAGCCGGGCCACGCCCCGGGGGCGGGGCTCACCCGGGCCACGCCCCCCGCAGGTGCTGGGAGCGCAATGAGAAGGCGGCGGTGTGGTGGCTGATCCGCTGCCCAATCCTGGCGGCCGTGGCGGTGCGTGACGTCACGGGGGGCGGGGCCAGCGCGGGTGTCACCTGGTGTCACCGGGGTGTCACCTGGGTGTCACCTGGGGGTCACCGGGTGTCACCTGGGGGTCACCTGGTGTCACCTGGTGTCACCTGGGTGTCACCTGGGGGTCACCTGGGGGTCACCTGGGGGTCACCTGGGTGTCACCTGGGGGTCACCGGGTGTCACCTGGGGGTCACCTGGGGGTCACCTGGTGTCACCCGGGTGTCACCTGGGGGTCACCGGGGTGTCACCTGGGGGTCACCTGGTGTCACCTGGGTGTCACCCGGGGTGTCACCCGCGTCCCCCCCAGGTGAACTCGGTGGTGTTCGTGCTCATCCTGCGCATCCTGGTGGCCAAGGTGCGCGCGCGGCAGGTGACGCGCGGGGACACGCGCCTCAGGTGGGGACACACCTGGGACAGGTGGGGACACACCTGGGACACACCTGGGACACCTGGGACACCTGGGGACAGCTGGGGACACCTGGGACACCTGGGGACACACCCGGGGACACGGGGACACCTGGAACAGCTGGGGACATCACAGAGACACCTGGGGACACACCTGGGACACCTGGGGGCACCTGGGGACACCTGGGGACACCCGCGGGGACATGCGCCTCAGGTGAGGACACACCTGGGACAGGTGGGGATACACCTGGGGACACCTGGGGACAGCTGGGGACACACCTGGGGGGACACAGGGGCACACCTGGCAGGACACGCCTCAGGTGGGGACATGGGGGGACACACCTGGAGACAACTGGAAAGGGTGGGGACACCTGGGGGGGACACGTGCCTGGCACACCTGGGAACAGCTGGGGACACAGCTGGGGATACCTGGCGAGGGTGGGGACACATCCCGTCCGTGTCCCATCTCCGTCCCCTCGTGTCCTGGGTATCCCTCATGTCCCCAATGTCCCCACATGTCCCACCCGTGTCCCCCCGTGTCCGTGTGTCCCCCCGTGTCCGTGTGTCCCACCTGTGTCCGTGTGTCCCAGGCTGGCGCGCTCCACGCTGACGCTGATCCCGCTGCTGGGCGTGCACGAGCTCGTGTTCGCGCTGGCCGGGGAGGGCGAGGGCGGCGGCGGCCTGCGGCTGGCCCGGCTGGGCCTGCACCTGCTGCTCACCTCGGCACAGGTGAGGGGCACCTGGGGACACGCGCGGGGACACGCGCCTCAGGTGGGGACATGGGGACACAGGGACACACCTGGGGACACCTGGGAGGACATGGGGACACCTGGCAAGGGTGGGGACACCTGGTCCCCAAATCTTCCCCGGGGGTGTCCCAGGTGTCCCCACATGTCCCCCCGTGTCCGTGTGTCCCCCCGTGTCCGTGTGTCCCCCCGTGTCCGTGTGTCCCAGGCTGGCGCGCTCCACGCTGACGCTGATCCCGCTGCTGGGCGTGCACGAGCTCGTGTTCGCGCTGGCCGGGGAGGGCGAGGGCGGCGGCGGCCTGCGGCTGGCCCGGCTGGGCCTGCACCTGCTGCTCACCTCGGCGCAGGTGAGGGGCACCTGGGGACACGGGGACAGCAGTTAATGAGGTGTTCATGGCGTTAATTGGGGTTAATTTGGGTTAAATTGGGGTTAAATTGGGTTAATGTGGGTTAATGTAGGAGTGCGGCCTAGGCCGGCCCAGCTGGGCCTGCACCTGTGCTCACCTCCGCACAGGTGAGGGGACACGGGGACACCTGGGGACACCTGGGGACACAGGGACAGCAATTAATGAGGTGTTCATGGCGTTAATTGGGGTTAATTTGGGTTAAATTGGGGTTAAATTGGGTTAATGTGGGTTAATGTAGGAGTGCGGCCTAGGCCGGCCCAGCTGGGCCTGCACCTGTGCTCACCTCCGCACAGGTGAGGGGACACGGGGACACCTGGGGACACCTGGGGACACAGGGACAGCAATTAATGAGGTGTTCATGGCGTTAATTGGGGTTAATTTGGGTTAAATTGGGGTTAAATTGGGTTAATGTGGGAGTGCGGCCTAGGCTGGCCCGGCTGGGCCTGCACCTGCTGCTCACCTCGGCACAGGTGAGGGGCACCTGGGGACACCTGGGGACACCTGGGGACACGAGGATAGCAGTTAATGAGGTGTTAATGACGTTAATTGGGGTTAATTTGGGTTAAATTTGGGTTAAATTGGGTTAATGTGGGTTAATGTGGGAGTGCGGCCTGCGGCTGGCCCGGCTGGGCCTGCACCTGCTGCTCACCTCCGCACAGGTGAGGGGCACCTGGGGACACCTGGGGACACCTGGGGACATGAGAAATGGGGTGTTAATGGCGTTAATTTGGGTTAGTTGGGGTTAATTTGGATTAATTTTGCGTTAATTTGGGTTAATTTGGGTCAATGTGGGTTAATTTGGGTTAATTTGGATTAATTTTGATTGATTTGGGTTAATTTGGGTTAATTTGGGTTAAATTGGCTTACTTTGGGCTCAATTTGATTAATTAGGGTTCTAATTAAGGTCAATCAGGGCTAATTAGGGTTAATTAGAAGCCCCCAAATCCCCGTGTCCCCTCCCCCAGGGCCTGGTGGTCAGCGTCCTCTACTGCTTCACCAACAAGGAGGTGGGCGGGGCTATCGCGACATGGGCGGG